TGTATGTCTACTAAAAAGGAAGTTGAATTGTATTAAGGCTAAAGAGGAAACTGAAATGCAACAAGAATGTTAAAACATAGTTTTGACTGATCTTCTTCTTGTGTGCAGACATGAACCAGATACCATCTTCGTAAGAAGTATAAATGAAATCGAAGTCGAGCCGAAACCAAAAGTGTACCTTAACCCACCAGCATAGCTGAGCAAGGATCTTTACATTTATGGTAATTTGAGACATGAAATATGTTAAATACTTGTAAGGCTTCAGCGAATGGTTTGAAGTTAGGGTATGAAGTTAGAAGTTCGGGAAGAAAACAGATTTCGAGTGTGCTTGGCACCCAAAAAAAAAGGAAAAGGGAAAATTTTATTAAATTAAATAAATCTAAGTTGATTTTTATGATTAAATTAGAATAGATCAGATTGTAATTCGAATTAATTAAATTGAATTTTGATCAGTAGAAGATTTAAGATGCAGTCCATATGCAATTTATGTAAAACATATTTTACCGGTGATCACCGAATTGCTTGAAATACCATTAACTTGTCCATTGTATAGCAGCCGCGATTGTCTTGAGATGAAAATTCCTTCGTGTGGTCTGAGTAGACTTCAACGACTCAGTGTTCCTCATTCAAACAAATTCATGTACATATAATATGTATGCAATGGGATTAGTCAAATTAATAGCAAAAACGGTCCGTTTAAAAACCGATTAAACAAACTAGTTGTCGGTCAAGTCTTCGGGTCCTATGCTTCCATCTAATTGCCACGAAAAGACCTCCCCCCCAAAACCAAATTTCACATTTCCAGTTTGACCCATCACATTTAGCGAACCCTTTTCTTGTAAGCTTTCACATGCAACCATATTTATTCATTGCTAGTGATTATGTGAGGGATGATCTCATCACTTTTTACTTGTAACACATTCCCCATGCTTTCACTTTGAGTATATCTATTCATGACTCGGATAATTTGTATAGTTCAATATTTTAGATTAGTTCGATTCAATTTAAATTATTTTTATATAATAAAAATAAATTGTTAATGGAATTAAATGAATTTTGACAGTTATTGTTTTTATTTGGGTAGAAAGTCGTAACTAGTAATAAATCGATCATTGTGATAATGTCAGAGTACTTTGTCTCTATGAGGAAGTAGAGCAAAGAAAAATTAAAGTGAGATAGTTTTATTGAGACCGTATCTCTTCTTTCTATCTTACTCAAGATGTTATATAGGGACTCGTTAATAACTATCGTAGGTTAACAAGTGAATACGGTCAAATGCAGTAAATATAACTTTGATAGATCACATGGATATGTTGGAAGTTATATCGACTAATTAATCTTGACTTCCTAAATGATATTAGGCATTCGAAGTCATTCTTCTTAGGCCTGTAAACGAACCGAACACACACGAACAAATGTATGTTCATGTTCGTTCATTTAATAAATAAACGAACATAAATGAACACGAACGAACAAACACAATAAACGAACAACACAAAAAAAAACTTATTCGAACACAACAAACAAATGTAAAAAAAAGTAAACAACAAGAATAACAACTTAAAATTCATTAATATAACCTGCAACTTTAGAGTTAATTTGTTCGAATACGACAAAAACATATATAAATCATAAATAAGCTATATGAACATAATAAAGTCTTAAAGTTAATTTGTTCAACAAAATAATCTTCTTGAAATCCAAACAACTTCAATAATCTTCGTAACATATTCAACTTGTCCTCTGGAACGAACATATAATCGAACGTTAACGAACGTAAATGAACGAACGAACTCTTTGTTCATGTTCGTTCATTTAATTAAACGAAAACAAAATCTTGTTCATATTCGTTCATTTAATAAATAAACGAACTTCCCGCCGCACAGTTCATGAACGGTTCGCTGAACGTTCAGTTCATTTACGGACCTAATTCTTCTAAAGATATTCACTGTGTTTCTCCCGAAGTTTCCTCGATACCGAAGAGTTCGATGCATTTTAAGGTTCCTCCATAAGTGTAAGGTGCGGTGATGTGCGGGTAACTTTGACGGGGTGTAACATGGTCAATATTACTTTTAAAATTATATAGATTATCGAGACAACTTCAAAATCACCATTTAAATGACAGTATCCGATGATGTTGGACCAACTCGTAAATTTAGGGTTTTGTGGTCCAAAATGGCAATGCCTAATAACGATAGTTTGACGCCACAGCTGGCGTAACTCAAGACTAAGAAGTATCAACGGTTTGATTTACGTGTTGGCCGTAATTTATTTTTCTTTTTGCCTGTTGTTTTATGCTCATCCATTTGGCCGTAAATCCCATTGGAACTACGACATGTCTACGTGGAAATATCTTATATTATAGATATTTATCAGTTACATTAGCATTAAGGAAATATCTTATTTTATTACATGATCTGTTTTCGTAACTAATCTTATTGGTAAACATTAACATTTCTGAGCTTTGATAAAGACCAAATTATGATAAGACTTTTCCAACAGCACATCCTAACGTTTGAAACTTAAATACTTTGATCGGTCCAAAAAGCATCATGGTAGGCATTTTATTATAGTAAAAATTGTGCAATTAAGTTTTTTTCATAAGTATCATCAGGGCCACGTGTCCAAATTCAGGCCAAACTCGTATGTTAACCTAAAACCATTACCAACGCACTTAGACAGCCACTAGAATCATCCACCTTCTATTAGTTGAGTGTCGGGTGGACGGAGATGCCACGAGTTTGTATATGAAACCCACCTGACCCCATGGCGGAGACTCCAAATAAATGGACGGCTACGATGTTGGAATCTTTTATTCGCAACGAAGGATTGATTAGCAGTCGGTTAAGTGATGTGATGATACGTAGTATTCAACACGTGAAAGTTGTTCAAAAGGGATACCCGAAAGAGTGCCACGTTTAAGCGCGTTGCGTGCCGTATTGATTGTCGGTTTCGCGTTCTGTTAAACTACTGTTTCCCCCCACTCTCTTCTACTCCACTCCGTTGTTGTTTTACATAAATACCCTCAATACTTTCATCTATAACAAAACAAACCCTCCATTTTTGAATTATTTAAGACGCCAAAATCATTCGTATCTTAACAGAAAATAAATATTTTTATATAAAAACATATCACCATTTTTATACTCGTGTTATATCTTCTTGAATTTTTTGCAAATTATGTTTATATCTTTACTCTTCTGTCTATTAAAAGTTTCGTAAGTTTTAGAAGTTTTAAGATTTTTATATATTTTAGAAAATTACAGTCTCTTAATATATAATCTATTAGAATGAAATATATTAATTAACACTCATGTTAATTTATCTTACCTATATGCATATAACCATTATTATCTTGGATTTAATACTAGTATTAACTATTAAGAGACAATATATAAATTATCATATAAATAGTTTAAAGGCTTTACACAATCTCACTTTTCGAATCAACACATATAAAGTTTGTTATAGAGATTAGAAATTTCTTGGTTATTTTTGAAGAAATTGAAAATTCAAAAGGGGGTAATAGTGGTAATGAGATTGTTTCAATTCCACACGTGGCCAATAATGGATGTTTCTCGGGAATTAGCTGTCTTTCTTTCTTTCTAGAGGCCAACCAGCGATGAACTACCTAAATCTAGCACATTTTCATGTGAAGTTATGCCGTAGGCAGTTTTAATATGCAATTAAGAAAATGTAGTACTAGAAATATTATTATTTTTTAAATATTTTTAATAAAAAATTATTTAAAATATTATTATTTTTATTTAAAATATTAATATTTTTAACATTTATAGTAAAGTGTCTAATATTAATATTTTTGATAAAAAATAATATTTTAGGTTATTATTTTATTTGATATGTTAACAAATCCGATAAAATGACTAATAATAATATTTTAAATAATTTTTATAAAAAATATTAAAAAAAATATTTTTCGGTAACAATTTTTTTAATCTAATACGTAAGACTTCCCCATTTTCATGACGAAAAAGATACTGATGTTTCCCCCAACCAATTACATTTCAACACGTCACCTGAACTAGTTTTTCTTTATATTGTTTGCTTTTTTAACAACTTTTTTATTTGGTCAGTAATTGCAGTAGCCCTTCAAGATGGAGAATCATTGAGAAATAAAGTGGAACTGGAAACTATTTTTTGTTTTTATTTTATATGTTTCTTTAATATTGAAAGAAAGAAAAGATGCGGCGGCAAAAGCGATTTTCTTCACTGACAATGCATACAATTTTACAGTTGCAAAGAGTATCCCATTTTTTGGAATTTCTTTCTTTCTATTATGTATGAAAAGTATAAAAAATAATGTAGAATTAATTTAACTGTAACCACAAAATCAATAGTTACACATTTTGATCTTATAATTTTGACATAAATGGTGAAAAGTCACTAAATATTTAATGATATAAAATGTTAAATTATTTATATAAATTTAAATTATGATATTATGGAGAAATACAACTGAATTGATAATCTATCTTCTTTTAATAGTATTTAATTTAAATTAGTATATTAATAAATTAAATATTAACAATTATAAAAAATTAAGAATAAATTTTAGAAATAAAAAAGTATTTCAAAAAAATAATCAATACTTTATGTGACATTTTAAAAAAGAATTGTTTAAATTTTTATTCAAATAATCTGAAATAATTATAATATAATAGATATTTTGATGTTTTAAAAATAGTGAATATAAATATTAGACACATTCATTTACTATTGAATACATTTAATAAGTTTATAAGAAATTGAATTTTAATTGAATGTCAAAATTGGTTGAGATCAATTTTGATCAAAGGAGTCGTGGTGCGCACGCATCAACAGCAAAAAGCTCAAGCGGCTTGGTTTACCTCTTCTAAATGGTTAAATAGTAGCATTGAATTGACTTGGAAGCAGTCATAAAAAAGGTGTGGAAGAATCTAAAGGCCACTTCAGTTGTTAGCTACCACCTCTCTATATATACATACCTCCCCACCATTTTCACTCAACTCTCCCACAATTACAAACCATCCTCTTTTGAAGAACTAGCATACATGGCTCTCGAAGCTCTGAATACTCCTACCATGGCTGCCCCTTTCATCAACAAATACGACGACATCGACATCGACACCTGGAAGAAAGGAAAACGTTCCAAACGCCAACGCAGCGACTCTCCTGCCGACGTTGATGCTGAAATCCAACCCACCGCCGAAGAAGAGTATCTCGCTCTCTGTCTCATCATGCTCGCTCGCGGCCGCTCTGCCGCTGATCATGATCCTCTTCAGCCTACGTCTTCATCATCACCGCCTCCGCCGCCGCCGACTTTGAAGTTGTCGTACAAGTGCAGCGTTTGCGACAAGGCTTTCAATTCTCATCAAGCTCTGGGTGGGCATAAAGCCAGTCACCGCAAACCCTCCACCGATGCGGCTGCTACCACTAACGTTGATAATCCATCAACAACAACCACCACCAGCGGGACTAACGGTAGCGGTAGGTCTCATGAGTGCTCCATCTGCCACAAGAGTTTCCCTACAGGCCAAGCCTTGGGAGGCCACAAACGCTGCCACTACGAAGGTGGCACCACCAACAATAACAAGACCGGTAGCGTTAGCGTCAGTGGGGTGACGTCATCAGACGGCGGCGTGTTGAGCCAAAGCCATCGTGTCCCCGACTTTGACTTCGACCTAAACTTACCCGCTTTACCGGAGTTCTGCGGGGAAAACAAAGAAGGAAGATTCGGTCAAATATACGGAGAAGAAGAGGTTGAAAGTCCATTGCCGACAAAGAAACCACGTTTCTCCATTGCCGAAAAAAATCAAATTGATTTATCTTAATTTAATTGTTTTCTGGGATTTGTATTTTGGATGAATTTGTTATGTACAGTGAATTTGTTCATCGTTGATGAACTATGATCTTTGTAGTCAGACGCTGCCAATTCATTGGTTCATTCTTTATATATGTATAAAATAATTTCCGAAACATGCATTTATGAATTTAGATACGAATGAATGTTTTAGATAACTTAGCCGTGTGAACACAGCGAAGAGACAGCAGGCAGCCACGGCGGTGGTGTTTTTGGGAAGGAAAACCGGTTGCTGTTAAGGAAGATGTGGTTCAGGGTTGAGCCTATCATGATTCGACCCCATCTCCCCCGTGTGGTTTAATGGTTTTAATGCACATGTTGGCACGATCAACGGACCATGATGATGCCCATCATCCTCGTAATAATAATAATATTAAATATTAATAGCCTTATTTTGGGCACTACCTGTTGCGTGCCTGGGGAGATATTCGTGACAACCTATATACCCCTCTATTCAAATTGATCAACTCTAGGATTAGCTTTGAAAATTCAGATAAGTACAACCTCCTTATTATACAGAGGAAATTACTTGTAAGTTATTTCAAATAGGAGAGAAAGCAAAATATGGGTTATTTCATTGGTTTGTAACACTTTAAAAGAAAAAGTCACATTGTGTGTCATCCATCTTTTCCTTGTTACTTTCCTCTTCATTTTCTTACCTTTTTTTCCTCCACAAAACGCTGCCGTAAAAAAGATTACAACTTAAGGAATTTTCCTAAAATGGCCAACGCAAACATTCAAGCTACGTTACTTTGGAGTAGGGGTGTGCAAATGCGGGTATCCGGATTTGCGTGTACTCGATACCTGGTTTTTTATTTTTATTTTTAAATTATTAATTTTAAAAAATATTTTCATAAATTTAATGTTCGAAACTTCGAATTACATACTCTAATATTCGAACATAAAATTTAAAAGTTCGAAATACACAATCTAATAATCCATAATATAAATAATTCATTATATTTTATATAATTATATATATATATATATAAAAAAAAACTAATCGGGTAACCGGGTATCTGGAAAAACTAGATTTTGTGACCCGGGCTCGACCCGGTCGGGTAATTTTTTTTAGAGAATTACCCGGTTTTTTAGGTCCGGGTCGACGGGTCGGATAATTTTGCACACCCCTACTTTAGAGGGTTTGTTTGTCCTTCTCCACGTAAAATAATTTAGGAAAAAGTTATATCTCTAGTAACTCATTATTTATTTTGTTCTGTTTTGATTATCAAACTATTTTTTCTGAAGATCGTATTTAACATTTGATTTTAATTTTATTTTGACTACTCGTTGTTAAAAAAATAATGTGATGTATTGATGGTGACATATTACCATAAGGTAATACCACATCAAGTTGAAAAAAAATCATTTTAATAATTATGTTAATTTTTCAACGGTGAATGCTCAAAATGAAATCAAAATACAACATTAAGTATGATTTTGGAAAAAAATAGTTAAGTAACCAAAACAAAACAAAAATTATAGCTGGGATACTAGATGTGAGTTTACCCAAATGCTTTGTTCATACGTCCTGTTAAGTACTCCTACGCTATCCACTGCTGAGTATATTTCCATCGATCTCGAATTTATCGAGTCCGAGATTTAACTCAGTTATGGTTTCAAAATGGTAAACAACGTATAAAAAAATATAAGATAGTTTCAATGTTCTTTGCTTGCGGGAGGAAAGTAAGACCCAGAGAGTTTATCATGTGTAAAATGTTTGTTTGATCGTATCAGAATTTCATTTATAAAAATACGATATATCTTATCACTATAATATTATTCGTAAATTAAATTTTATTTAAGAGTCTTATAATATTTTATCCTCACCCAGTTATCAATAATTATATGGGTGGCATGACAGCTATAGTAAATTCGTATATATTATTGTAATTGCAGACTGCAACCAAAGTCTATACAAGTCTTTATATATTATTGTAACTTCCAACCACCAAAAAAATATATAAAAAAATATATAAATCTAAGACTATAATATATATAAATTACATCAATACTTCAATTCATACATACCAATCAAATTACTGGCATTATTTTTAATTTAATATGAAGTGATTTAAACTAATTCGATCTATAATTAATCTGATCCAATTATAATTATGTAAGTATAACTTTGGTTTTCTTATAAACTGTATGTGGTCTCAGCGTGTATCTCCCCATATCTAACATCTGTTTATTGCCAAAAAAAAAAAAGAATTATTAAAGAATTAGCAGCCCCATAGTGTTTGTAGTTTGGCATGGTAGCTATGAAGTTGAAGGAAGCAGGTGCGTCGGATGCTTGTTGTTGTTTTGATCTGAAATGCTGCATTTTGCAAATTGCCCTAATTTATTTGCAAGTGGCATCTGTAAGTTGTTTAGGTCGGTTTTGGACAAGTTTTAGCATCTTCTTTTCGTCACTACTATATCCGACTATTTACGTTTGTGTGTGTTGACTGTTGACCAACAGGTTTTTACTAATTTATTTTTTTAATTAATCATTTTTATCGTGTTAAAATTTTCAGAAAATGTACCCATCATATTGACTTACACACAATTTTCATTTCTTATTTTAGGAAGGGATACATTTATAAACTTTCAGGGGACGAAAATTGATTTTTAATAGAAAAAATATTAAAAAATTTAAAATATATGATAATTTTAAATTTTTATAGGACGATTATCCCTATCACTCAATCCATCGATGGTCATAGTTAAATGACATGTGTCAAATATATATATATATATATATATATATATTAAAAATTATTTTAAAAAATAACTGAAAATAATCTTTTTTTTAAACTATCTTCAATTTTTTCCAAAAACTCAAAAACATCCTAAATGCACCTGTTCACCGCTAATCACATGACTTCAATTCGTATTATTTCTTCAAGGAATCTTGCTTCAATTTTGATAATTTTTTAATTTCTTAAACAATTTAATCTTGTGAACCTCATAGTCGGGGACAATCCCATTGTACATATTTATTCTTTGATGGTATAACAGCCGATGGTTTCACTTCTTCCATCTGCAAATGAGAGAACAAAGCATGGGAAGCATATAATATTTGGATGACAAGTTATTTCTTCACACCAGTAATTTAAGTGGTAATTTCATCTGCAAAATTATAAATGAAACGGGGGGGGGGGAACAAATAGATAAAAATAAACGAAATTGCCCTAGGCAAATATCAATCAATCGTATTTTAATGATAAATTTGAGAACAATGTTAGGGATTTGGGTATTAGGGTTAAGGATTTAAGTTTAGGGATTTATGGAATGAAAAATTATCAACAATGACCGTCAATGGATGTGTGGTCATTTGACGACCGAAAAAATGACCGATGATGGTCGGCAACGAGTAATAACTGGATTAGAAGGAAGGATTCTAAATTTTCGACTTTTTTATCATTTGAGAAAAAAATATGATTTTTTTAAATTAATAATATTTAAGTTTTTCTTTACGCAATAAAATTTTCAAAAAAAATATAAATATCGTTAAGACATGGACACCAATATAACAAAAAAAAACGTTAAACACTATGGCCCTCGTTCTTTTCATTAAGCCTGCTTTTGTTAAAAATGTGGGCATCGGTATTTTCAACCAACCAAAGAAATTCAGATTAGGGTGGTGTTGGAATGTGGCCCATTCTGTCACTGAATCAAAACCCATAAGGAATCATAAAGGCCCAAAATCTAAAAGTAAAAAGAGGGCATCCATCAAGTTTATAAACTAAAATTAGTATAAAATATTATCATTAATGCACCCTCACGATATAAGTTTATATGTTTTTACTGGATCGTATTAAAACACACATTTCATTAACTAATGTATTATTTTTAAAAATATTTAAAAAATTATTATTATATTTTTTATTAATAACTTGTAAATTAGCTATACGAATATATATATATATATATATCCTATTTGAAAACATTACTACAAGAATTGATGGATCTTTAAATAACACATTATAGTTCTTCAAATGAATGTATTTATTTCTACTGCATCATATATAAAACGCCAATCAAAAAATAGATACTGATAAATCATGTATCAATTTTTAATTATGGTTCTAATTAATTGTTGAATTAATTATACAATTTAATATTTATACTAATTGATTCTAATTATAACTTTTGTTCTAGTTCTTTTTTAATAGTTAATTATAATTATAAAGCAGTATTTGTATAGAATTTTTTTAGTAATGGACAAGGTACACACTTGATGAATCTAAGGAAGGCGGCTGGGAGCGACCGCCCTTAAAAATTTTAATTTTTTTTTTATAGATTTTAGATTTTTTTTCTTTGTATTTTTTATTGATAAGTTGTTTTGTCCCCCTAAATTTTTCTAAGTTTGTCATATCCTAAAATTTTATAAATTCGCCTCCTAACATAAAATTTTGTATTTGTCCATGTACACACCTTACAGATGCAGCTACTCGAACTCAAAATCTCTAAAAAGAATAATACTCTCTTTTATCACTGAGGTCGCTAGCTTGATTTAATACTAACTCGTACAATTAATGATTATAAAAACTTATCCTTAGTGTGAATTGTTGCAACTTCAAAAATTATATACTAATAAAACAACTTATGAAATAGGTAAAGTGTTACTGTGGCCCATGAATTGGCTTCTTGGGCGTTACGATCTAATTATTCGTTATATTTTGACTCGGTTTGTCTCGAGATTATTGTTACGGTTGTATCGAATAACATTGGTTTCATGTAATATATGTTTGGGTACTCTTTTCCCCTGTTAGGTTTAGAGGAGTTTTTAATAAGACTCATTTCTTTTGTCAAAAAAATAAACAATTATCGGCAAACAAATAAACATGATCAAAAAAGGAAAACTATGGACAGTGGAGAATAATTACACTAATATGAAGGAAGAAAATATAATAGCATTTTTGGGTACTCGATTCTCTGGATAGCATATTTGTTGGATCGTAACCTGGCCTGTTAAGTCCTGGTACCCGAA